CTGGTGAAGAAAATATACCCACATGCCTACATATAGTAAGTACAGAATCAAAAGTGATAACTTCAAGCTAGGCTCTTGTAGAAAACAAACAAACAAGGTTAATTAACAATAGTATAAAGATGTTTTCAAAGAAGATGCTTTTGAATTGTGGTGCTGGAGGGGACTCTTGAGAGTCCCCCGGACTGCAAGGAGAACAAACCTATCCATTCTGAAGAAAATCAACCCTGAGTGCTCACTGGAAGTTCAGATCCTGAAGCTGAGGCTCCAGTACTTACATACATACATACATAGACCTTTATTGGCATTTGATTACATTAAAGAGAAGTAAACAGGTTGCTAGGTAGAAAATATAAGGGACAGGTTAGAACTAAAGTTGGGAGGGATGGGGGTTGCAGTTGCTCATAAGAATGGTTGACAAAAATTCTGCGACGAGATTGGTAGTGATTGGGAGGGATCACTAAGGAGGATTGGGAGGGGATCAGAGAGGGAGGGAGGGAGGGTTTGGAGAAAGGGGTTTAGTAGGGAAGATCTAAGGGCGGAGTGAGATGGGCAACGAAGTAGGATGTGGGCTACTGTGTCTGGTTCACGGAGGCAGAATGTACATAGTCTGTTTGGTCGGGGGATGTTGGAGTATCTACCAAGATGATAGGGCAGATGGGAAAATGTTTAAACGAGCGAGGAGGAAGGCCCTCCTTTTCCTTGGGTCTGTCAGGTGAAAGAGGTAACTGGCTGGGCAGCCCAGTAAGGGGGGGAGCCCGAAACAGGATGGTGAACAAGTGGGATTGAGGTTTGATAAGAGGGTACGGGTTTCTTGTTCCAGTAATTTAGACTTAATGATAAAGTGGGCTTTAGGAAGGTCGAGGTCAGCCAGGATTTCAGGGGATGGGTCAAGGGTAGAAAGCTTGGCATCTACTAGTTTAAACCAGTTGGATATGTGAGAGTCATGGATAAGGTCGTATAAAATGGAGGTTGGGTGGGAATTGAGATGGAGTTTCAACCAAAATTTGAAGGTGGAAATCCAAGCAAAGGGGGAGGGAAGATGGATACCTAGTTCTGATGCAATCGTGGATAGTCTAATTAGTTTGGGAATCCCCAGAATCTTATGGAGGAATTTAGAGATTGAACAGTCCAGATCGGAATTGGCAGCTTCGATCCAAACAGGTGCTCCGTACAATAGTTGAGGAATAGATTTGAGTTTAAATGCCTGAAGAGCAGCAGGGATGAACTGGTTGCCTTTGTTAAAGAAAAATCTAGCTATGGCATTTTGAGATAGAAGAGCTGAGGATATGGCAGATTTACGATGGAGTAACCAAGAATGACGGTAGTGAAATGTCACTCCAAGGTACTTGAAGGATGATACTTGCTCAAAGCTAAGGTTCCAGTACTTTGGCCATCTCATGAGAAGAGAAGACTCCCTGGAAAAGACCCTGATGTTGGGAAATTGTGAAGACAAGAGGAGAAGGGGATAACAGAGGGCGAGATGGTTGGACAGCATCATCGAAGCGACCAACATGAATTTGACTCAACTCCGGGAGGCAGTGGAAGACAGGAGGGCCTGGCGTGCTCTGGTCCATGGGGTCACGAAGAGTAGGACATGACTTAACGACTAAACAACAGCAACATAAAGACGTAATTGTTTCAAGTGAGCTTAGCTCAGGGTGTAACTTAGAATGATATCTTTCTTAGCCATTTGGCTCTTGGCCCAGGTTATGATGAACTTTATCCTTGGCCTGGAACATAAAGTAACATGACAGTGTTAATTACTTTATTTGTTTACAGCATTAAAATTACAGAGAGCATGCTTATGATGCCATATTCCCTTTTTCATGCATTGGGCTTACAGATTTTCTATAAGACATTGGCTATGCATGGATACTGGATACACTATCTACATTAGGTTGATGCTGAGTGTGCTAATGAGGTTAAATGGAGAGGAACCTGTGACCTGCTTATGAAAGGAGAGCCAAGAGGGGGCCGGGCTGGCTTCCTGTGGAAGGGAGTTCCACAGTTTGGGAGCAGCCATAGAAGGAGAATCTCTCTTGTATGCACCTCTGAGGGTGATGGTACCAAGAAATGTGCAGTATATATTAAAAATCACAGATTGCTTGTGTCTGGCAAACGTACAATGGTTAAAATCCTGTAGTTTTTTCATGCTGGCATAAAGTAATTTGCTTAAAACTCAGCATCAAAGAAGTTGACGTAAGCATTTAGTGTTGTGCTCTGATTTCCAAACTCACTGCTCAGCAAATGTTTACACTAACCTCTTAACTTGCAGCAATTTGCTGCCACAATTTACACCAGTTGTATTATGTCACTCATAAAAGCAGTGCAGATAGGTAGGAGTCAAACCAGTGGAAAAACTGGCTTCCTGATATTCCACTTATTCAAGCTATTGGTCTTTTCTGGCTCTATATTGGACTGGCTGGAAATGGGCAGAATTCCAGGCAGCAGCCTTGATAGCTATACCTGGGGATGCCAGGAATTAAACTACTGGATAGTTCAGTGGCTTAGGTCTCTGGCTGCGTAGCCAGAAGTTACATTGATTTGTTGACCTTTTTGGTAATTACATTACATGGTTGTGAATGCATGCTTTTTGTTAACTGAAAGTGCTGCCTCTTGTTTTACAAGGTGGCCAGAGAAATTCCGCTCACCCACTTATTAAAACTTTAAACAATGGTCCTGAACTCCAGAGCAGCATGGGGCCCTTCTGATGCTTCCAAGCAAGGTTGCCAGATCAGCAACCTCATGTCCACTGCAACATTACAGCCTGAAATCACTGATGTTGCAGGGACTGGCCTGTGTGAGATCACAGAGGGGAAGCAGTAAAGACTGAGGGGAAGTCAGAACTCTTTCTGGAAAAATAAAGATCCAAACAAGCAAAAGGTGTTGGATTATGGGTAGAACCTGGATAGTCAATTCAATATGACAACCACGAGCTGGTGTGTGTGTGTGTCATTTTTCAACAGCTGGCCAGATAGCAAACCATATCTAGCAGCTGCAGAAGTGTCCATCACTCTCACAAGAGCTTTTTAATGCTCACATATAAGGCCCTATACGTAAGAGCTTTTATCCCTCATAGCGTTACATACAGGAGATGTTTTACCTGCTGCTTGGTTTGTGGAAGCCTTACTGACACTCCATGAGGAGATTTTATTTGTCATTTATGATTTATGTTATCTTTGTTAATCGATATTTTTATTTTATGTTTCTATAATTGTATTAATACTGTTGTTAGCCGCTCAGAGTGGTATAGATGTATCAGATGGGCGGGATATAAATCAAATAAATAAAATAAAAAAATAAATAATAATAAATTTATCCCTCATAGCGTTACATACAGCACATATGACCTGAGAAGCCTTACTGACACTCCATGAGGAGATTTATTTGCTTAGGTCCTGTGCCCCTGCTGCCAGGGCGTATATAGTGGAGAGGGATCACTAACTGAAGTGGTGGGGTAAATAAAGGTGCAAATGGTGGGGTAAATAAAGGGCCCAAATGCATAGACCTCCTAGAATCCAATTTTCAGCTTCTAGTTTCCTGATGCCTCCACATTGTGTGAGCCCAGCCACATACAAGCATAAGCATTTTCACAATGAACAACTGTGTTGAAAGAATTCAAGGTGCTCAAAGCCTTGGAACAGACTCAATATGACCAACAGTCTAACCCATAGTACAGATCTGATGTAACTAATTTGATGCTGCAGTATATGTGGCCCAATGAACATACAAGTTGTTAAGTTTGATCCAAAGGGTAGAAATAGATCAGTAGAAATAGAAGAAGCCTCCCGGAAGATTGGAAAGCATGGCAAATACACATTTGAGGGTCTCCTGGGCAATGGTGTGCAGCAGCCAGCCAGGCCTTCACTTCCAGAAGCCTTGCACCGTAAACTGGCTGATGAGCAAAATGGCCCAATGGTCCTTTTTTGTGACCACAAATGATAATGATTTCTAACATTTTAATGTGTTTTTAATTTTTGCCTATAGTTCATGAATGTCCATAATTTTAAATTGTGCAATGCTTTGATAGGAAGGAAGGAAGGTGTATAATTTTGGAAATTGTATACTAATGGTTATAATGGCATTATAATTTTGCATGGTGGCCACTAATAAGTACACTCCCAGTAAGTGAGGTTTATTGAGAGAAGCTGCTGAACATGTTCAATATGCATTGTCTCCAACACATTTTTGATGTCACCTGGCTGGAGAAAGTTCCAAACAGAGTAGTCCTAGAATGAGCTAGACCTTTTAGCATGTATATATTACTGAAACAGCGACGTCTACGTTCGCTTGGGTATGTCGTGAGAATGGCTGATGGTCAGATTCCAAAATATCTCTTGTATGGAGAATTAGTGCAGGGAAATCGCCCCAGAGGGAAACCACAGCTGTGATACAAGGACATCTGCAAGGGGGATCTGAAGGCCTTAGGAATGGACCTCCACAGATGGGAAACCTTGACATCTGAGCATTCAGCCTGGAGGCAGGTGGTGCATCACGGCCTCTCCCAGTTTGAAGAGACCCTTATCCAGCAGGCTGAGGCAAAGAGGCAGTCCCGAACCCAGTAAAATCAGGGAGCTGGACAGGGGACAGATTGTATTTGTCTTTAATGTGAAAGAGTTTGTCACTCTCAAATTGGCCTTCTCGGCCACACTAGACGCTGTTCCAAGTCCTATATTCAGAGCACACTACCATAATCTCTCGAGACTAAAGGATGCCTAATCTAATCTAAATACACTTACTGATAAGAAACATACTCTCTATGCTTACATTATAATAACATATAATTGTTCTGTGTCTCTATAAAACTATAGTTTGTGGGCAAAACATAATGCATAAGACCTGTAAATATAATCGCAAAAGCCATTATGTAAATGCAATACATAGAATAACTTTATATGTGTCATTCCTTTAGTCTTGAAGTTTAATCATACTTGCCTAAAATATCTTATTATTTTTGTTACTTTTATCTACAGGCTGAAAGCATAGAGCAACTTGTGAGCATGGATTTCCTTTTGCTAAAGGTCTTCCTGATGCATCTTGGCATGTTGTTTAGTGTTCCCTTGATTTTCATTGTCATGCTCTATTTTATGTCACCAGCCACGCTGTTCACACTTGGCGCATGGTAAGTGGGAAGAATTGTGGAAATACTGCTCTGTATCAAAGGCAGTGGGATCCGATGTGAAAGTGAGCCATTCACCGTCCTGGAACAGGCAGGCCAATGGGCAGGCAGATGACATGTGTGGTGCCCAAGCTTCCCTAAGGAGTGCTTAGCACTCGGTCAGAGAGTTCCACAGGCCACTTACCTACCACCTTTGCACTGAGGCAAGTCCCAAGACCTCAGCAGTGTGTAGCATAAGCCCCTTGAACAAGTCTGACCTTAAAATAACACTTTATTTTTACCCAATACTTTGCAAGTACAGACATATGGGCTTTGTGATTCCTTAGAACTCACAACAGCTTGGTTAGGTAGGACTCTTACAAGCTAGTTTGTGGCCCTCTCCACTCCCTGAATTTAGCCAGACCCTGCTGTTCAAGAGACTAGTTCTCTTGTAAGAATTTTTATAATTGTTTTTTAATTAGAAAAATAAGAGTTTCATGGAATCACTTTATATTGCTCAAGCTTTAGCATAAAGAACATATTTAAAGATTATTACAGTTAAATAAAATAACTAATCCCCATTTTAAAAAAACTACTAAACTGAGCTAAGGTGGGCTAGCCCCACCTCCTCCTTTCTCTTTACTTACATTCTTTCTCCTTCAAGCCACATGCTCAAACCATCAAGTTCTTTTTCTCTCCCTATATCATGGAATCAAACTTCTCCCACATAACAAATTGTTCATTTTCTACATTCTCTAACTCCTCCCTTCTTTCTCAACCCTTCTTCTCCCTTCTTCTCTAACTCCTCCCTTTTTCTCAACCATGGTTCTAGAGCATGTGGACTACAACCTCTTTAGCAAGAAGAGAGGGGAGGGAAGTGTGCAGTGGGGTCCCTCAAGGTTCTGTCTTGGGCCCAGTGCTCTCTGGACGAGAGTATTGAATCAGCACTCATCAAATTTGCTGTGACACAAAGCTTGGGAGGGAGGGATTGCTAATACTTTGGAAGATAGACTCAACATCCAAAAGAATCTAGATAGACCTGAACATTGGGCCCTATCCAATAAAATGCAGTTCAGTGGTGGGAAAAGTAAGGTCCTGCACTTAGGCAGGAGAAACCAGATGCACAGGTACAGGATAGGTGGTACCTGGCTCAACAGTAGTACCTGTGACAGGGATTTAGGTGTCCTGGTGGACCACCGCCTAAGGAGGAGTCAGCTGTGTGCTGCAGCTGCCAAGAAAGCCTACACAGTCCTGGGCTGCATCAACAGGAGGATAGCATCAAGACCACAGGAAGTGATAGTACCACTCTATACCACGCTGGTGAGGCCACACTTGGAGTGCTGTGTCCTGTTCACCACAATACAAAAAAGACACTGAGGCCCTGGAAGAGGTGCAGAGAAGAGCAACAAAGATGATAAGGGGACTGGAGGCTAAATCCTATGAAGAACAACTAAAAGAACTAGATATGTTTAGCTTAACTAAGAGAAGACAAAGGGGAGACATGCTAGCAGTCTTCCAATATCTGAAGGGTTGCCACAGGGAAGAGGGCATCGATCTATTCTCCATTGCGCCTGCGGGTAGGACAAGAACCAATGGGTGGAACCTCATCAGAAGGAGATCCAACCTGGAAATAAGGAAGAAGCACAATATTTCCTTATCACAAAGGAGGTGAAGCAATAGATCAAATTAGGTAAGAGGGAATACACTAGGAAGCCTCACGTAATCATCTACTGCCCCCTGTAGGCACACAGTTTCTTGGAAAGCATAGGTGTACATTTCTTCCCTTCCACCACCTGGTCTAAACTAGAATTTGGTAGCAGCAATGTGAGGATCAGAACAACCCGGGGGCTGCACTGGAGGACCTGCCCGCCCCCGCCAAAAGTTGTTCACCCTTTCTTTATTTGAATGTGAATTCAAAACTTTAAAAGACGTCCTGTACTTGATTTGTGGAGGGGGAGATAGAAGGAGAGATTAAAAGTGCAATTGTATGTTGCACAGCTAAACCTGTATAACAGGACGTTGCACAATTTGTAGTGATAATCATGCAAAAGTGGAAGTCATTGCCAAGAAGCAGTTCCACAAGCCTGTTGTGCAACACCTTGTGCCATAAATTGTTCAATCCATTGTGCTATCAGATAGTGCAGTATGGACTCCCTAGGCATATAACATCCTGCAAACATCCATGGGTGTAACTTTATGTTACACCAACCGCCACAGTGGTTCAGCCTATGTCTGTTTAAGCAGAAGCAAGCCACTGGGCATATTGGCTGTACTGGGAGATGTAGTCCAAAAAATAATAATTGTGTTATCAACTTTGAAAAAACAACACTGCCATGATGTTCTCTTGCCTCATGATTTTTCCCCCTTAGGTGCCTGTCTTGGAAATATGGGTTAAAGGAGAGATACGCTGAGCACCAGGGCTACAGGTTCTGCTACTTCTCCCTTGGGAAACCGAGCCTCAAGCCATCCATCCTGTTGCTTCATGGCTTCTCACTCAGGAAGGAATCGTGGCTATTTATAATTAAAGTACGTTTTCTTTACTTCCTTTGACAACCAACTGTGTTTGGCTTGGCCAGGAACGCTGCTGAGGTGCTGAAGGCCAGGAACAGATTCTCTTCACCAGCCAATATCGTGATGGACCACCTTTCAAGTGGTGGCCCATAATGATATTGAGCTTATTTTAGCATAATTTTTCATCTGAGGGCATTGTAAAGGCAAACTACCTGATGGAAAGATATTCCCATTGATCTTTTGCATGGTGGCATTGGACTGAATGGGAGGTTATTTACTTAAGAGGAATCTGTGCTCAGCGCTTGGAACAACTCCCAGAATCCCCTCAGCTAGCTTGGGGTGGCGGCTAAAAAGAGAGAGTTTTTTTTCCAGTTTTCTGATACCCTATTTCCCCGAAAATAAGACCTAACCTGAAAATAAGCTCTAGTATGTTTTTTCAGGATGCTCGTAAATATAAGCCCTACCCAAAAAATAGGCCCCAGTAATTGAAACCCCGCCCTCTACCCTTGTGCAGCAACCAGAAGATGACATGACTATATTTGAATAAATGTCGGTTGTTGTACATGAAAAAATATATTAAAAATCCCCTGGAAATGAGCCCTAATGTGTTTCTTGGAGCAAAAATTAATATAAGACCCTGTCTTATTTTTGAGGAAACACAGTACATGCCTGTGGACTGAGGCTTTTTCTAAATACAGTGATCTTAGCCCCAGAGTGTGGGTTACAACCACATGCTGGCTGTGGGCAGATGCAGTTCCTGAGGCCTGGGATTCCATGGAAGTAATACTGTGTGTCCAAGGGTAATGGTGTAATCTTCTTGGTTAGTGGCAGCAACAGACTCCTTAGATTCCAAGCAAGCAGGCACATGCAGGCAACAGACATTAAAATCTCATAGTTTCCTTAAGCACGATAGCAGAGTGACAAGGCAAGCATAGAAATGTAAGTCCAGATTCTTATCTACTGAACCACCGTGTGCATCTGTGTTTGTGACCTCGGCCTTTCCTTGTTCTTCTAAGAGGCACCAGGATCAAAGGGCAAAGTGGAGTGCATCGTGTTTGTGTCATGTGGCATCTGCCTTCAGGACAGTGGTCTTTTCCCTGGACTTGTCTGCTCTTGTTTGGACTTCATCCAGGAGAAAGCTTGGAAAAATTCCTCCCAGGCTCCTGTTCCCAGAATCTCCCAGTCAGCGCTGTTACTGGCCATCTGGCTGTAGGGCTCTTATGTCATGGAGTAACTTCTTAAAGCTCTGATCTTGAACTTCTGTTTAAAGGGGAAAACCCCTCTTATAACAGCTTCCTTTACAACTCCCTGCTTTTACAACCATTCCAGTATCAGTGACTGGTCCTGTAATGCAGTGGTTCCCAACCTTGGGCTTCCAGATGTTCCTGGACTACAACTCCCAGAAGCCTTCATCACCACCTCTGATGGTCAGGATTTCTGGGAGATGAAGTCCAAGAACATCTGGAGGCCCAAGGTTGGGGACCACTGCTGTAATGTACCAAGCATGACAAGAAGATAGGAAAGGTAGGAGGGAAAATAGAGAAGACAGCGGAGGCTAGAGTGACCAGCCAGCCCACCAGCTAGATAGAGAAGGTGTGGGAGAGGTTTTGCTTATAAAGCAGGACAATGATCTAGCAACCAAACCCTTATTTTAAAGTTGAGCCTAGTAGTTTTCTCCTTGTTCCTCCTTACTGGAGGAAATACATCATTTTGTACCTTTTGCTTCTCGTTGTGTGATGAATTCTGCATTTCATGTGTTTTACAATACTGTATCTTGTTTTGTATTCATTCTCCTAGTGATGTCTTCATCTAGAACCCTCTCAATCCAGGACAATTCTTACCATCCAGCAATAAATCTATATTTCAAATGCTTCTATCTTTTTGATAGTAGCCTATTGAGAAGTCAATAATTTTATTCCCTACAGCAGAGCTAACGACAGTGTAATTTATTTATTTTTTATTAATACTTCCTAATTCACATCGCTTTAATTTGTTACTGGCTATTTGAGTCATTCCTAGTGGTGTTTTTCAGTTGTACAACTGATAAATTAACACATGAACCTTTTTTTAAGTGTTCTCACTGGATTAACACAAATGTTTAATTGGGAAATGTTGATGTTTAGCACTATTCATGGTAACATTTCCAAGTTCTGATATATGCTAAGAACTCTGTGTTAGTGGAAAAGTCTTCAATAGTAGATGCACGGACAAGAATCGACTCTCCGAGATGAAGGCAATAGCACTGGGTCACAAAGGGGTCGAAAAGCCAGCTCCATAAACCATCTAATTCCGGTGTGTATGCTTACCTCTCTCCAAGTACTTCCCGAAGGACACCCACTTGATCTGTATTGACATGCCTGGGCATGGGAAAACCTCTTGTTTGCCAGGAGACAGCTACAGTGGATTTGATCAGGCTAGAAGGATACACCAGGTGAGTCCTTTCTTGAAAGCCCTCCTTAGGCATTCAGAGTAATCGATTGTTTCGTTTGTGGTCATCTGTTTTCTATTATGCTTGAGTACATCATCTTGTTTTGAGATGGATACCACCCAGAATAGTGTTATGGACTATTGGGGGCAGGAAACAAACAAACAAACAAACAAAGTTTGTGGTCATCTGTTTTCTATTATGTTTAAGTACATCATCTTGTTTTGACATGGATACCAATCAGAATAGTGTTATGGACTAATGGGGGCAGGAAACAAACAAACAAACCATTCTAAATTCCCTCATTACTCGTTGCACTTGGTTCAGAAGCTAAGGAAGTCTTATACTTACACACACACACACACACACACCCTCATCGCACTTGATTCAGAAGCTAAGGAAGTCTTACACTTACACATACATACACACCCTTAAGCCAGCATTTACACCTCTAATACACAGCACATAGCACCTCTTTGTTCTTGCTTCTTGTTTCAGTTTGTCGAGTGTATTGGTCTAAACAGACAGCCTTTCCATCTGGTTGGCATCTCCATGGGCGGAATGGTTGCTGGCCTTTATGCTGCTCAGCATCCTTCAGATCTCTGTGCCTTGACCCTCCTCTGCCCAGCCGGTGAGTATCAACATTCATTTATTTCAAAAGAAATCCTAAGACTGCTGAATTCTGAATGGAGAGGCCAGGATGTCTGCTGTCCTCTCTAACTGAGCAGGGGGATAAATGAGGAGCGTGTGGGTGTTAGTTTCCACCCCCATATCATATAAGGTGCCCATTTTTATAAAACTGGAAGCGACTACTGTACATGATCACTTCTGGTTTTGCATTAAGGATATTTGGGGGCCAATGAAATACCTTTGAAAGTGAGGATGGTGGCCCTTAGAGGTTACTGGGTTATGATTCTCAAGTCAGTGTTGACTTTTTTGAGGTGGTGAGGAAAAAGCTCATGAGTGAGAATGGAAGGGATCTTTGGCAGACCACACCAAGGCCCCTGAGAGCCAAAGGATGCTACATAAGATTAATTTTGTCCATTTTATTCTGAGCTTTGAAAACAGAAGGACTGTACTAGAATGAAGAGAGGGCAGTTCGGCTATAACTCTCTCTGTGTTCTCATTTTACCTCATCTTTTTGTCCACCATCACCCCTTCACTCCCATATTAGTCTTTACCTGTTTCCAGTAAGGTAGTGCATGGCATCCAGACAGATCACAAATTCTGAACTGAATTGGCCTGATTCAGACCCATTTGTACGAGGCCTAGATCAAAGCATATTGGGCAGGTTCAGTGTTGGTGTGAGGGAGGGAAAATGATAAACTGATTCAAATCTGAGATATAAATATTGCTCTGATTACTAAGTATTGTTTTGCTTTTTATTTATTTATATATTTATGAGAAGACATCATAGACCCCAGATGGGCCTCTAAAAGTAGTTGGAGCCTCTCTGCGCAGCTCCAGTTTCCAGCATAAACAAATCCCGAAGCAAACAGCCCCGCTTTCTCTGTGTGGATTCAAATCATGGGTTTTAAGAACTTGCTGTCAAATCCTCTTAATCTGTGCATTCTCTCCCAATTCTCAGGCCTGAGATACCCAGTAGATAATGAGCTTATGAAAAAAATGAAGGAGCTGGAGAAAACCCACAAACTTTACACTGAGAACCCTCTCATTCCTTTGACTGTGACGACTATAGCTGGCTTTTTAAAACTCACCATGTACAAAAGTATGAAATTACCAAATCAGGTGAAAATGTAATGTTTCCTCAATTATATATTTATTAAAGGTAGGGGAAAGGTGGGTTTTTTTGTTTGTTTTTTTGGACTAAAGCTCTCAAGAATACTCCAGCCAGCATGGGTCGAGTTGCATTCCGACAGAAGCAATCCAAAAAAGAGAGAGTAACTATTAACATCTCTGTTACATATTGTTTAAAAGACTTATACATGACCTTTCAAAGTAAGTCCCTGAAAGTGGTGTAGAACAACATTAAAACCACAGTATGCAGTAATCAAATACTAATACATACTAATCAAAAGTAACAACTAAAAATGCTGGAGAGTTCAGTTGTTTAGGTCTCTGGTTGCAAAGCCAGAGTTTGGGAGTTCGATTCCCCACTGTGTCTCCTTGACAGGGGCTGGACTTGATGATACATAGGGTCCCTTCTTCCAGCTCTGCAGATCTAAAATAGACATCTTCTAAGATAGACAAAACCAAATAACACCATATTAACAATGGCACGGTGGTCGACCAGACCAGATGGGTGGGATATTTCTAAGATAGACAAAATCAAATAACACCATATTAACAATGGCACGGAGGAAAGCTTAGAGTCAATTGCCCGCCCATTTAGGCAGATAAATTGTTTGTACAATAATGAGTAAGAATGGAATTCCATGTGTTGCCAACGGCTGCAACTGCTGTCAGCCCTTGTGATCAATGGTGAGGGATTATGGGAGATGTAGTTTGACAAGATGCGGATGATCACAGTTTCCCATACCTACTCTTGAGGGCTTGCAATTATGAGCAATTGCCCAATTAATAAATTGCACCACAAAGTCAGAAGGAATAGATAGATGTCACTGTTTTTTGTTATTACTGTTACTGCAGCACATATTTTTATCTGTTCTGCATCTGGTAATATATAAAATGTTTTACATTTCATAAAAATAAATAATAATCATATGCCGTCAAGTCAATTGGGATTTATGGTTACCCTTTACAGGGTTTTCTAGGTAGAGAGTACTCAGAGGTGGTTTGCCATTCCCTTCTTCTGGGAGCATCTTGGGACTGTACAGCTTGCCCAAGGCTACACAGGCTGTCTCTTTTCCTGGGAAGCACAGTGGGGAATCAAACTCTCAATAGTTGGCTCCACAGCCAGATACCTAAATCACTCAGCTATCCAGTCAGCTTTTATATTCCTTTGAAGTATAGCTAGAATGGGAATGATTTGCTGAAAGGCATTCAACTTTTTCTGTGGGTGACTGTAGATCTCGTTAGACCGCCTAGAGTGGTCTTATAGACCAGATGGGCGGGGTACAAATCAAATCAAATCAATCAATCAATCAATCAATCTGAACCTTGGCTACTCACATTGTTCAAGCTGCTGTTTGATCCAGTGACTTGAAACCCTGTTGCTTAGTGGAGTCGGTCGCAATTAGAGCAGGCCTATTGAATCAATGGGATTCACAAAAGAGGAGTTCAATCACCAAATCTTAAACGATTCAATGGGTCTGCTCTACTGCAACTGACTACACTAAGCAACATGATTTCAGCCAGTGAGTCCATCTATTCACAGTACTGTACATTCTTAGGCTTGTGCCCTTAACTGGAATGTCTCATTGTGTTCAATGGATCCTCTGTACAATTCTTTGCCTTCAGATCTCTCATTCCTCCCCATCCCCATTAATTCTCATGACCCAGAACATGAATCACTCAAAAACAGCATTTTATGTCTCTCGTGAATCCTCCTCTGCCTTGCAGAAGATACAGGCAGGAAATGGTAATATGGACCTGGTCCTCTTGCTTGTCTTCTTCTGTGCATTTTGAATGAACCTCATCAACAAAGTGAAAGGGAGATTTTGTTTTCTTTTTGCACTAGAGCTTTCAAGAGTAAAACGTACTTTTCTAGAAGATCTCCCAGGCAGCCAGTCCAAAAACACAAAACTGCACATCTCTATCCCAAGGCTTCTGATTCTTCACCATCATGCTCCACTAGCTCCCTAGAGTAGCATCTGTTGGTTGCAGCTAAGAAACCTGTATACTGTACACCCTGATGTTAGCTGATCTCTTTGTACTGTTTCTTCCTTTCCTTCCAGATTTTGAGGGGAATGCTCAAACGCCGGGAGCAGGAGAGCAATTTCTTTGTAAAATGTAAGTGCAACACTGTGAGTGCTGTGTAAACTACCAGTGCAGTTAGTGGGGAGGGGAGACAATGGTATAGTGTGCAAGCCATAAAGGCGTGGAAGAAGTGCTAGGAGAAAGAAAGAGGAGAGAGTTATCCCCCCTCCTCCCAAAGTCATTTTCTAGAGTCTTCAGATGAGGACAGGAGAAACGTTTCCCATCTTCAACAAGATGTTGACATTCTGAGTAGGTTCAGCAGATCTTGAAAGAAAGCATGAAAAAATGGTGTGGATGGCTAGAAAAAAAAATTTTAAAGGAACATTTGGAAAACATAGGACTATAGACAACTTGGAACTGGGACAGGGGGCTTTCCTCTGAAATTTTGGAGGTGAGGTGGCTGCCCACATCTTGGCCCTGCATAGCAGTGACTTGCTTATCTATAGTTCTTTACTTTGGTTATAGCCACTAGGATTGGAATCTGGTAAGATATGTCATCTATTTGATTGCATATCATTTTGCTATCAAAACAGATCTATTTTATGTCAGTGCAATAATGGTAGACACAACTACAGTACACATTTTTATTAACTGAGGTGGGTTGAATTGCAGATGCTGGAGTGTGTTTCCCCTTTCTTCTTGCCAGCCTAGCTATTGATAAATAATACTAGGAGTTGCAGTCTCAAAACCTCTGAAGGGCTGCGCTTTAGGAACCAATGATGTTTCCTCTTAGATTTAAGAAAAAGCACAATGTTACTAGCCTCCATCCATAGTTCTTCAGGCACTGATATACCAGTGAATCATTATGTGTTACAGTTTGTTACAGCAGCATCTGAGAAAGCAAGGCAGTGATGAGTCTTATAGTGCAGATATGGTGAAGAAAGATGGGTTATAAATATTCTCTTTTTTTTAAAAAGGAATAAAGGGGAAGAATGGGCTGGGTTGGAAATTTGACACTATCCCCATGGAAGGGGACACAAACAAGCTCAATGTGCTGTGCTAAGAATGGTTTCACTTGTGAGAGAAAGAAGGGTGAGCGGGGTGAGGTTGGAAAAGTTGAAAATAAATGTTTCTCATAGCCTGATGAGTCTGTGCATCTCCTCCTTTATCGAGAAGGTTTTTCAGACCTGTTCAGTGAGGAGAACAGGTACCAACTTCAGGACAACATAAGCAAGATCAAGACTCCAACACTGGTCATCTGGGGAAAGAATGATCATGTAAGCTATTTATGGTTATGTATTCTCGAATGGTTATAGTTACTTACAGCTCTAAGAATGCCATACATTGGGGAAGTATTTTTGTGGCACTGGGTTTCTTAAAGGAATGCTCACAGAGAAATACTCCATGCATGCCTTTGTTCTACATTAATTTTCTGCCTTGGAAAGCTGACACACCCTTATGGTTTTTTTTTTTCCTGAGCTAAGCCATTTTTGCTATACCTAAGTGAGCCCTACTTCTTCAAAAGGAAGAGGTTATTTGATGCTTGTTGTAGGTTTTTCAGGCTGTTTGGCCATGTTCTTGATGTTCAGGAGCGAGAGCTCTGTCTGTGTTCTGGGGCTCTAGCTCTGTCCTCTGAAGATGCCGGCCACAGAGACTGGCAAAACATTAGGAAGAACAACCTTCAGAACACGGCCAAAGAGCCCGAAAAACCCACAACAACCCGGCCATGAACGGCTTCGAGAATATATGGTGACATCTACTGAGGTGGGGGAGCAACAGTTTGTAAAGTCCAGCCATCACACAGAGTTTCAGATTCTAGCGGAAAGCACAAGGGACTGTAGGCCTTCTCTGTAGAAATTCTCATGAGTTCATACAAAAGCGAACTATAGCTGAATAATTTTGGAATACTAAACTTCAAATGTTATAGCCATTTCTGTACAGTCTTCCATTTTAGCCACTTGAAGCCATAATGCTTACGGCTGACCTGGCTGGCGCTCCTGTCGAGGCTCTGGTTGACGGCTGGTTTGCCGCCGCGGCTAGGGCTGTAGACATGATCGCTCCTAAACGCCCTCTCCGCCGCAGAGACTGCCCGGTGCCCTGGTTTAACCAGGATCTCCGGGCGCTGAAGCGGGTCAGGAGGCGGCTAGAGCGCAAATGGAGAAAGGACCCGACGGACATTAACTGGATAGCTGTCAAGGTCGGCACTAACCTTTACCTGGCTAAGGTAAAGGCTGCCAGTCGATAATACTTCGCTAACCAGATAAGCGAAGCGTCCAATCAGCAGGCGGAGTTATTCCGTATAGTACGCGACCTATCCGGGGTTGGTCTGGGCGATGGTCCTCCCCCTAGTTTTTTGCCGGACCAATTTGCAGCATTTTTTAAATCAAAAGTGGAGGCCATCCACTGGGACCTCTCTCCTTTTTTGAATACAGTGAGTCGAGCTGAGATGTCTAGCTCTTCGTCTTGCCCGGTGATATTTGACTCTTTTCAGCCTGTCACGCCTGACTCTGTGGCCAGGGCTATTGACCGCTGCCGTGCCACCACCTCCTCCGTGGACCCTTGCCCAGCCTGGCTAATCAAAGCAGCCAGGCCTTTAACAACGGAATGGGCCACGGCAATAATTAATGGGTCTCTCCTTGAGGGCAGATTTCCATCTGCCCTGAAGGACACACTCATTAGGCCCATTAGGAAGAAACCTAGCTTGGCGGCGGATGAAATTGGCAATTATAGACCCGTCGCCAACGTTTCTTTCTTAAGCAAGGTGGTCGAGAGGGTGGTGGCCGATCAGCTTCAATCGCTCCTGGATGAAACAGATGTCCTGGATCCATTTCAGTCAGGCTTCAGGCCGCGCCATGGTACAGAAACGGCATTGGTCGCCTTGTGCGATGACCTACTGAGGGAGGCCGACAGGGGCAAAGTGTCTCTGTTGGTCCTCCTCGATATCTCAGCGGCCTTTGATACCATTGACCACGGTATCCTCCTGGGGAGGCTCTCCGAGTTGGGGATAGGTGGCCTGGCATTGGCCTGGCTCCGTTCCTTCTTGGAGGACCGTCCCCAGAGAGTGCAGCTTGGGGAGAGTGTCTCGGCCCCGTGGAGTCTCAATTGTGGGGTTCCACAGGGATCGATTATCTCCCCAATACTGTTCAACATCTATATGAGGCCACTGGGTGGGGTCATCAGGGGGTGTGGAGCTCTGTGTCATCAGTATGCGGATGACACCCAGCACTACATCACCTTTTTGGCAACCACAGGTGATGCCGTTCTGTGCCTACAGCGCTGCCTGGAGGCTGTACTGCAATGGATGCAGGAGAACGGGCTGAGGCTGAACCCGGACAAGACGGAGGTGCTGAGGATGGGTGCTCCCACCATTGGCGGGCTGGGTGATTCCCTCTCATTTGGGGGGGTGACCCTCGCTGCAAAGAGTGGGGTACGCAGTCTGGGAATCTATCTGGACCTGGTGCTCACCATGGAGACTCAGGTGGCGTCCGTGGTCCGCACCACCTTTTTTCATCTCTGGCAGATAGCCCGGCTGCGACCCTATCTCGACACGGGGCGCTCACTACCTTGGTACATGCGCGGAAACTACAGGTGGTGCAGAATGCGGCGGCCAGATTACTCAGTGGAGTGAAAAAATACCAACACATCTCGCCCACTCTGGCCGCACTGCATTGGCTGCCCATCCGTTTCCGCATCGACTTCAAAGTGTTGACGCTTACGTATAAAGCCCTAAACGGTTTAGGGCCTCGATATCTGGCGGAACGCCTACTCCCACCAAGTTCTACCCGTGTCACTCGTGGCAGCCAGGAGGTGAGGCTGAGGAGCCTAACGCCGAGGGAGGCCCGGAAGGAGAAGACAAGAAATCGGGCCTTCTCGGCGGTGGCTCCTCGCCTCTGGAACAATCTACCTCCTGGGATTCGCGGGGCTCCCTCGCTGGGTATCTTCAAAAATCAATTGAAGACATGGATGTTTCGGCAGGCCTTCCCATCAGACAACTCCTGATGTTCTTTTCCTTTCCTTTCCACTGATTTTCTATCTTTCTTAAGTTTTTATTATTTTGTTGCTTTGTATATGTATATTTTTATTACTCTTTGTCTGTTAGCCGCCTAGAGTGGTCCTTAGTTGACCAGATAGGCGGGATAGAAATTAAATAAATAAATAAATAAATAAATGCACCTGTTCCTCTGTAACAAATTTTATTTGGTAAGAAAACAAATAATTCCCATTTCCAAAACTATATGAATGCAGGAAGAGGTGGTGCCTTCCTTGGACCACAAAAAACACAAGGTGTCACCTCTTCTTACATTTGTATAGTTTTGGGGACCACGTGGCCTTTCCCTGGTAGTTCCAAAACTGTATCTGATAAGTCACTCAAGTTCTCAGGGTCTTCTCCCTCTTGTTCGGATGATGCAAGATTTGTTTCAGTACATCTTGTTTGGGGCTTTTGAGGGGGGGTCCCCTCTGCAAGGCATGGGTTATTTAATGACTTGCATTGTTCTGGCAGTGCAATTCAATTTGGCATTTCCCTTCATGATTAATTCCCTTCAGAATGCTAATTAATTACATTTTTCTAAACCCTGGGTCAGCAGGAGGGCTGCGTTTTTCCTTCACAGCAACCCCATGTGGAGCTAGAAATAATGAATTAGCTTCTGTTGAGCTAGAGACAAGAATGAATCATTCCATGCATTGGGAGAGTGTGGGATCTAAGAAGAGGCACCCTGGAGCTGGTGCTTCCTTTCATAATCCATGGCTTTTGATTGGTCTGTCTTTCTGTCTGTCATGTTCTAGCACTAACCTGTCTGCCTGCCTCCATAATGGGGAAATTAAAGTCATGACACTCCTCCCCCCATCAAATAAAGAATGGAGGATAGAGGAACAGTGCAGAGTGTATGATTCCCCCTCCTCTTCTTTCATTTACCTGTAAATGTTATGTTGTCGTCGTCATCGATTCCAGCCCCTTGTCACAGGGGCACTGTAGGGAATTAAACTCCAAACCTTTGGCTCTGTAGCCAGATATCTCAACCAGAAATTAGGGTGGTGCAAAATCCATGACACATATTTAAATCTCATAACCTTAAGGAGCAAAGGGGTTAATAGAGGTGCCCTGTCTGGAAGACCTAAACAAAGATCTAGGAGAGTTCCAAATATAAGACATTTCCCGTTGGGCTACCACCACCCACAAAATTCTGTGAATAAGGTGGGAAAATGGCACAAGTTTCTAAAATGTAAACACTGGTTCCTGATATGTGGTATTTCAATTCTTTGCTGTTCAGGTACTCGATCCATCTGGAGCAGAAATTTTAGCCAGAGCTATTCCTGACACCCAAGTGCACGTGCTGGAGAAATGTGGACACCTCATAACGTTAGATTGGCCCACAAAAGCCATGGGATTTATTATGGATTTTCACACTTCACTTTCTATCAAGATGAGTAAAAAACTAGTATAAATCAAGAATGAAGCTGTTTGAATATTCAGTGTGAATGTATCAGACCTTAGAAGCTTCATTTTTTTTTGGCCACAACTCTTACAGTATGAAGGGATTCCGTGACTATTAGTACAAAATTAGCCACGTCTTCAAGCTACACAATTTATAATATGAAGAACAATGAAAGTGACACAACGAAGGTCTACAATGATTTGTTCAACCAGTAAACTTGTAAACACAGTAAACACCTTAGTCTGCACTAAATAGCAATGGCTGTTTTAATGAAGATACTGATGATGATGAATCATTCGGTGGCCTGAACAAAAGAATGCTGTGAACAAAAATGGCTGGTTTGATGTTTCTCAATGGGTCAGGACCTCAGGATTCAGGTGTCCAGGGCAGTCCTGAAATGTGACAGCTATTCTGGAAAAGGTGACTCATGTCTTCACTCTCCGTGCCCACCCAAGGGTGTGTCATGATATCTATGTGGACAGAGAGCAATAAAATTCTTTTGAAAGAGACGCAAAGGGATATGAAGCTGAGATGACATGTGTGTGTGACCCTCTGGGGGGGCTGGCATCTTGTATTTGCGGCTTACATGATTCCTTCCACTCTTTATTTCTGTCTATGACTTACAAATAAACCAAAATATTGCACAAGGCAGTACTATAGGATGCCCATAATCACTGGGGATTAGTTCCAAGTCTTGGTGGATACTGAACACTGAGGATAATGGTGAATTATATCTATCTATCTATCTATCTATCGAGCGAGAGAGAGAGAGAGAGAGAGAGAGAGAGAGAGAGAGAGAGAGAGAGAGAGAGAGAGAGAGAGAGAGAGAGAGAGAGAGAGAGAGAGAGAGAGAGAGAGAGAGAGAGAGAGAGAGAGAGAGAGAGAGAGAGAGAGAGAGAGAGAGAGAGAGAGAGAGAGAGAGAGAGAGAGAACATGATAAAAAAAAAAACTCAGAAAAAAATATTTTCATATGCATTACCAGAACTGTCCACTGAGAGCACTAAAGACCATGCTATGTATTCCTCACTAAATCATAGCATGGTCTCTGCCTCCCTCTACTGGCTGCTTCTGGTAATACATGTAAAAATTCTCTTTTTTTCCCCCTGGATTTTTTCTTTTAAGATTTTTAATATTTTCAGACTGTGGGTAAGTGAACCAGTGGATACTGATCCCATGTATAAGGGATACTACTGTACATTTCCAGCAATCTGTCTTTCTAAAGGAATCAAACACATGCCCCATTGTAATTTTCCTGCCTGAGGCAAAGTACAAGAAGGTATGTCTAATTGCAAATGGCACAAACAGGAACCAACTGGATTCTGCAGGTTGCTTCTGTGTTGCTCAAGAGGGACAAACTAAAAAAACTCATAAGAAAATGATGTAAAATCTTTAAAACTATTAGAATGTCTCTAAAAATGTTTAAATGTACTCTTAAATATCTCTGCAAAAGTAACTTGAATTGTTCCTGTTCTAATGGGTAGTCTGGAGTTTGAATTTCAAAAGGAGCTTTTCCCAGTTCTGGCTAAAGCCCAGGTGATTTACAGAGCAATTTAGGACTTGTTCCTGAATGTTAAAGAAAAGAAAAGAAAGCATTATTAAATAGCCATTGCAATGAATTGTACCAGGTTGTGCTTTTGCATTTGGACCTCCATATTTTCCACAATTAAGCCATACTGAAACATCTTTCAGAAGAAGAGACTGAGGTCCTTAATCAGTGTAGATGGCATTTACATATTTATTATCATTATCATTATTATTGTGTGTGTGTTTTAATTAATACCTTGCTTTTCGTCCCTTATGGCATCACACTATTTTCTGGACCGTGGCTCTGGGTGCATGAGGGAATTGTATGAAAGAGGGGAGGCCACATCTCTGGAAGCAGTGGGACCTAACATTGATATAGCTGGGTCAACTACTCTCTGCTTCTCCTGAAGCAGTTGACTGCCTTCTCTCTAACTTCAAGCTGTATTGGAAGTAGATTGTAATCTCAGGTCACGAGGGTTGGGCCATGAACTGTTTCATGGCTCCAGCAGGAGGGAGGCCACACCTATATCCTATCTCTAGAATCCCAGCAGTGCTGGTTTGTGCATCTGTCGCCACAGAGACCCCTACCAGCGTCCTGGAAACGACAGGAAAGTTTGCACTCCCTGTGGCTTCTGTAGTAGCCACTGGCAAGTCCAGTGCACAAAGTGTCACAGACTAAAACCAGATCATAATTATTTGCATAATAGAAACTGGGAATGGTTTGATTGGAATCTGCCCTCTGAAACCTGGAAATACCATCCTGGCAGCTTTTGCCAAGGCTAAGGGTTCAGTAATGAGGATGAAAAACTGGCAAAATAGAGCCCCATAGTTATACTGCAATATCCCGATGGGTGTGGGCAACTGGCTAAAGGGCGTCTTGCCCTTCCATCCGTCTGAGGTTGGTAAAATGAGTGTGGGCAGCCGGCTAAAGGACGTCTTGCCCTTCCATCCTTCTGAGGTTGGTAAAATGAATACCCAGCTTGCAGGGGGGAGCCAAGGTGTTGTTTGCATATAGAAGTCGAAACATCAACAACAATGGGTGGTTGGGCTGAGGCAGGTGTTGCTTTAATTACTTAAAAGTTTGATTTTAATACAGTATTTTGCTTTAATTGTTACTGGGGCCGGCTAAAGGACGTCTTGCCCTTCCATCCTTCTGAGGTTGGTAAAATGAATACCCAGCTTGCAGGGGGGAGCCAAGGTGTTGTTTGCATATAGAAGTCGAAACATCAACAACAATGGGTGGTTGGGCTGAGGCAGGTGTTGCTTTAATTACTTAAAAGTTTGATTTTAATACAGTATTTTGCTTTAATTGTTACTGGGAAAATCTTGCATCAAGTTGTGTTGCACAACCTGGATTGGCCACAGGTAAAGTTTAATTTAAATTAATTGAAAGTGTCCCATCCTCTCTTGCACATTCTGAGGTTCCCTAGGCTCCCTTTCAACCCAGCAATGATTTTGACTATTAAAGACTCCCGCACATAGATGTACCATCTGAGGTTCCCAAACGTTTCCCCAGACAGCCTCAGAAACTAAAAAGGGGGGCAGGATAAAAGCAAAGTGTGCTGCTTATATACCATCCCACAGTACTTAAAGCACTTCTGGGTGGTTTACAACTTAATTATGCAGACTGCATGTTGCCCTCCCCTAGAAAGCTCGGTACTCAATTTACCGACCTCAGAAGGATGGAAGGCTGAGTGAACCTTGAGCTGGCTACCTGGGATTAAACCTGGGTCATGAGCAGAGTTTTGACCGCAGTACTATAGTTTAACCACTGTGCCATGAGGTTGGTATAAATTATACCAACAGATAAGGGCCGACTTAGGAAAATAGCAAACTCTCTTATATTGAATCAGACTATCGGTCCATCTAGTCTAGTATGGTCAAACCTTTCTAGGTTGCTGTTTCCCCAGCATTCCAGCGGAAGTCTCAGGGAACTGCAATGCTTCTCCAGGTCTCTAGCTTTGTGCTGTGGTTGTTGGGGAATGTGGAAGACGACAGCTCATGACTCCTTTATGGAATCATTGTCACCAATGTTCAAACAGTGAGGCACAGTGAGTGAGTTGCTTCTTTTATCATTCACCATTGTTTAATCCTGTACCCACGGACCAATGAATACATATTACCAATTGCAAGTAGTAATATGAAAAAGGAAAAATACCACCTGGACTGTAAAAATCCCATGGACCCGTGTGGGGATGGGAGGCAGGGAATAATTGTATTTTAAACTAATTGTGACAGCTTTTAACTAATACAATAAACTTGAACTTGGAACTAATTGTGTGCAAAATCTGTGAATCCTGCACAGATGTTGGAGCAATTACCCTGTTTCCCTGAAAATAAGACCTAACCTGAAAATAAGCCCTATTATGATTTTTCAGGATGTGTGGGTGATCACAGAGCAAAGGAAGGCTAATTGTCTTAGAGAAAGTACAAAGGAGTCGACAAGCACATGCCCGAGCCAGCGGAGCCTAAAGGCAACGCCCTGAGAGCTCCCTTTATTGACTTAGCATGAGTTACATAGTATGTTGTAAGAATTCAGATAGGATACTAGTTACCTAATCGTAACCAGGATTGGCTGAAGAAACTCTTTGATCTTATGCTCTACCTCTAAGTGAAAGGGCAGAATGAGGGGTTACCCCGCCCGTTGGCAGCTGCCACTTCCTGCCAGGAGTGTACGCACGTCACTGGAACAGAATTCAGCTGCAACCTTTAAACAGAAGTTTCCCACAAGGATGCTCTTAACATAAGCCCCACCCCAACAATAAGCCCTAGTTAAGTGAAACCCCACCCTCCACCCTTGTGCGGCATTGTGCAGCAACCAGAAGAAGATGGTGTGACTGTGTTTGACTAAATGTACAGTGGTGCCTCGCTTGACAGTTACCCCGCATGACAGTTTTTTCGCTAGACATTGACTTTTTGCGATCGCTATAGCGATTAGCAAAACAGCGATTCCTGTGGGGGAATTTTGCTGGACAATGTTTGGTCCCTGCTTCGCAAACCAATTTTCGCTAGACAACGATTTTGACAGGTCCCTCTGCACTCGCAAAACGGGAGTTTTGGGGACCTAAGCTTTGCAAGACAGCTATTTAAACAGCTGATTGGCGGTTCGCAAAGCGGCTTTCCTATGGCTGATTTTCGCTAGACAACGACAATTCTTCCCCATTGGAATGCATTAAACAGGTTTCAATGCATTCCAATAGGAAAATGCTTTTCACTAGACAATGATTTAGCTAAACAGCGATTTCAGTGGAACAGATTATCATCATCTAGCGAGGCACCACTGTACATGGTTGTACACGAAAAATAATATCCCCTGAAAATAAACCCTAATGCATTTTTGGAACAAACATTAATATAAGACCCTGTCTTATTTTCGGGGAAGCATGGTACATGCCCATATATGGGGTGGGGTGGGGCTGGGATTCTCCATCATGTGAACTCCTTCATGCTTGTTATCCCCACAGCTTATTCTCCAGTGGGCCACAGACTGACTGGTAGAATTCCAAGAGGAGTTTTGCTGATCTTCTGGGCCTGTCTAACACTATGAAGTGTCCACATTTCTCCACCATATGCACCTGAGAGTTAGCAATAGCGTTGCCCAAAATTTCTGCTCCAGAAGGGTCAATTACCTAAGTAACAAAGAAACAGTGTCGCCGTTATTGTTGTTTTCCTGTTTTCTGTGGAGCGTATAGAAGAACCATAGAGGATGATAATATGAATACTGTATGGGATCTTCAGTAATATCTGGGACCATCTTTTTACTGAGATGGTGAGCTGTGTCATCAGTTGAGAGTAACACCTGAGATCCTGGAAAACCTTCAAGTGCAGAACACAGCTGGGCAGATTTCAGACTTCTTTGCTTTTTACCAGACCTCTGGGACGAAATATTCACAAACTGGTGTGAAAAACATACACTTAGGATTTAAGGCCAGAATCCCATGATTTTACTGTGTTAATGCAAGACCCATTTTGTTTGCAGCTGCATATTTTCAAAGTTAGCAAAAGGGTAGTGTCCAGTATAATTTCTCTTGCAGAACCACTTGCACAACTGCTCAGATCACGTCTGGTGTGATTGCTTGCACAATAATATAACTCCTGTACAATGGTACTAGTGGGATTTTTCACCCGTGTGGTATCATATTGTTGTTGTATCTAAATAAAATACTTTTGAACTTAGGAATCTGTTTTGAGCATTGGGACCGAAAGAACCTAACCAGCCTTCCTCACAAATGTCCACCCCTAGTCATGCCTAATGTTCTTCATTTCAGCAGTATAATTAAGGGCACAAAGGGAGTCAGGTTGTTGTTGCCATTGTTAAATAAATGAGAGCCAGGAACGTTTACCATCATACTGCAAATAATTCAGAAATCTACTAGTAGCTTCAGATCTACTCTCTGTCCATACCTGATGTATAAATGAGATACTGAGGGTGTAACTCCACTGAAAAATAGTTTTTAAGCCTGTATTATGTTTCAAATAACAATCAGTGCTCACACAGGGACTATGAATTGATTTGGGAGTTTGCGGTTCCTACTGGGTGCAGTGTGAGTTGTATTCCAGCCCACAGCCCCATTTTCTTTCCTTCCTTTCTCTGGTCCTGCCTCTGCTATCCTCCCTTCCCCTGGTCCTGCCCCTGCCAATCTGACAGGGGTCATAAATTTGGGAATAATGATGATGACTCAGCAATAAAGTGATAGGGTGATCTAGTGCGAATCTCATATATGTAAGAAATTAAATTTTTTAAAAAATTAGAGAACAATCAGGGGAGAGGAACATCATGTCCCAATAAAAAAATTGGAGGGCAATCAGGGGAGAGGAACATCATGTCCCAAGTGTCTATGTCACTGAAACATCACCTACAGACACATCCTCCATCTTTACAAGTACATATCATAACAAACTACACAGAAAAAAGACCATTGGAATAATACCAGCTTGAAAAAAAAAAAAAAAGCCCCCCCCCCCCCGTGGCAGAGAGAAAAAATGCATTAGGAGCAAAAAGGGATCAACTGATTCAAATCAGCCTTTGTGTCATATGGTCATTAAAAAATAGTTTGAATTCACTTGTTGTGTAAGTGGAGCAAATCCTGCAGTGTTTCACCATAGCAGTTGCAGCTTGAGTTAGATGCACCAATAGTCTAACTCAGGAGGCAATGGCATTAGCCATTTATCCTGCAGTTTGTGTCAGATTTGGCAGAGATGAAATCAGATTAAAAACTGGTGAAGACATGTTGTACAGCTCCAGGGCGGTCCTGGTGGAAGTTGCCAATTGGTACCTCATTAGATCAGAGGCAGCTTCTGCTGTTGGAATTACGTGCAAACACATTCCCTGTTTTCTCTGCCTCTGCCCCTGCTGAAACACGATCATTGCTCGTATTTGTCTGGATAGTGATCAATGTGGGAACTGATTCGAATCAGCCTTTGTGTCATACGGTCATTAAAAAATAGTTTGAATTCGTATTTGTCTGGATAGTGATCAATGTGGTTGTAGTTCCATCTTCAGTTTAAAGCATCCTCCTGAGGTCCACTCTCCATTCTAAGAGCCCTTATTAGCCAAAGTCAACCATCAAAGAAGTAGCATCTGAAAATCCCCTTGTTTTTGGTATTCCCAATGGATGGAGCAGTTGGAATGTCCTACAGCAGTGGTTCCTAACCTTAGGGTCCCAGACATTTTTGGATTGCAACTCCCAGAAGCTTTCACTACCAGCTGTGCTGGCCATTCCTTCTAGTAGTTGCAGTCCAAGAAAATCTGGAAACCCAAGGTTGGGAACCACTGTGCTATAGGATGGGACTGCGAGAAAGTTCCCTGTGGCAGGGTGTGCCTTGACAAATGATAGAGTAGGTTTACCTGGTCATTCTTTCCCCAAATGATCTGGGTGGGAGCCTTGATCTTGTTCAGGTTGTCATGAAGGCTGTGCTTGGATGTAGGACTAGAGATATCTAAAAAATCTTTCCCATAAAGAAGCAGAGAAAGGAATACAATTGTAGTACTGCAGCTCCCAGGAACCATAGCCACCTCTTACCATGGCCATTTGCCCCATCTCTGGCAGTGAAATAAAAACAACGAGAACACACACACACAAAAAAAACAAGGAACTCAGAAACAACAAAGTAAATGATCTGCAATGTGGTGCCCTTTCATGATATCCAAAACCTGCTAACTAAATTAGCTACCTGTACTTGTCAACTTGTAGAGCTAGCCCTGTTAACTGTATATCTAAAGCTGTAATGGAAATTGAGTGTTGTGTAGTGGATAGAGGAGTTTGTTTTTGCTGGGATTTCTTTTGTTCCCCCCCCCCACACACACCGCATGGCCTAGGAAGTGGGGCTTTCCCTCCTTAAATGAGGGCGTGCCAGGACCTCAAATTCTCTGACTCTAACTCTGACCCTAATATGGTAAATAGGAAAGCCAATCAGCATTGCATACACCTGGGACCAGGAAAGTTTTAAGGGTCAGATCATACTTCCGCAGTATTAGAGAGCAGACCGGGTAGGTGGGGCTCGTCAGCCAAGGATGGCAGCCCATCTAGGAGAAGGAAAACTCTAATTTCAAACCGCCACTGCCTTGTGGCTATATTCACTGATGGAAAAGGCTTCAGGAGTTAACCTAGAGGCAAAATCCGGAGCTGGAGTCCTGAAGGCAGTTTGTGTCGTTCTGCCAACTCCTGCGACATTGCTGGAACCAGTTGTATTGGCTCTTGCCTTTCCATTGGACTATTTCAGCGATGTGGAGAGGGGGGATTTGCTGCTTGGGTAACAGCCTATCCTCCATACTACTTTACCCAGGCTTCATGCTTTGGAGAGGAGACTCCTTGATTCAGAGCATGTTACCATAGTCTCTCGAGACTGAAGGATGCCTATGGGAGTGGATAGAGTGATGGAATAGGGCTCAGAAGGCTTGGGTTCAAATCCATCTCAGTTCCTAAACTCACCAGAGAAGTGGAATTGGTAAAACCACTCGTTTAATATCTCATTTCCCTTGAAAGCACTGTTGGGGTCACTATAAGTCAGTTCTGACTTGATGGCACACAAGACACACAAAACTGTAATGTGTAAATGCAAAAACAAACCCATGCTCATACAGATACTCTTGTGAGAAAGTGGCGATTGACAGTGGCTGCTTGGTGTATTCATACTTACATTTTACACAAAAAGACGCATTGAGCTTTGAAGCTTCAAGGTATCCTTTTAAGAGCTAAGGTGAAGAAACAAGGGAAGAGTCAAAATTGCAGGAAATACAAGGTGAAATTACAGATTCACCATGCAGCTGCATACAAGTACAGTGGTGCCTCGCATAACGATTTTAATTGGTTCCAAAAAAAAAGTTATGTGAAACATCGTTATGCGAAACACCATTTTCCATAGGAATGCATTGGAAACCGGTTAATCCGTTCCAATAGGCACGGATTGCCGTCCTTAAGCGAAAAAACCCATAGGAAACATCGTTAAACGATACAATGTTTCCTCCATTGGAATGTATTGAAGCTGACTCAATACATTTCAATGGCTTTGCGAAGTCAATTTTTGCAAA